GCGAGAATTTTTTCTTTAAATTGTTAGATAAAAAGTCACAGTTGACTTTTTTTTTTTATTATTCTGTGGTGGAAGCAAAAAAAATAGAATCTTATTTTTTTCCATTGATTTTGGGTAAAATATGTTAGAGTATATGTTTCTTTTCTTTTCTTTTTTTATTCAAATTTCACCATGTCTGCTCATCAAGAAGAACAATTATTATGATAGTTGTTACACAGAGACAATTATGACATCATGTTACAAAAAAAATTGCAATACATTACACACATCTTTTGCTTGGTTTTGTTATACAATAATTTGTATATGCATTGTTCCACTGTGGCTAATCCTATACTGTCCTAAACGAACAGATTACCTAGAAAGCTCTATTTTTCTAAGATTCTACTCACTCTCACATCGTTCCAGAGCTGTACGAGTTTCTTTCTTTCGCAAAATACAAATTGAGATGTTAGTCAAAATGGCAGCATGAGTCTCCATCCACTTTCATTGGATGTCTTTCTTTCTTTCTTTCTTTCTTTCTTTTCTATGAGCAAATTAAGACTGACGCGGTCCGTCATTGCATTTTGTGTCCCTCGGGAGTTATAGCTGGTTTGCAATGACACGAACGCGAGTAGATATAACAGGTTTTACAAAGCTCATCGGTCTGAAAAAGCGAGACAAATCTCTATATAATAGAATATATGTTTAATCACGTCCTGAATCTCGGTGCGGATTGCGCATTTTGGTTTTACTCATTTTTGCACGTTTGGAAAATTCCCGCAAACATTTATTTAATATACAATGTAGGTTAGATGAGTAAAAAAAATTCAAACAGAATATCAGATCAAGTCAATCATTTGAAAACAGCATGAGTGGTTCAGCTGTACCACGTCTTCTCGCTCTCACTCTCTCAAAATTGCCTCACATCAGCGCATCTCATCTGCACTAAGAGAGCTGCTGCACACTGCCAGACAAGACTTTCGCTCAGCTGACAGAACTGTCACTTGCCTAATCGGGTCAGTGTTGCATCATCATAAAAGTTTATCATTTGCACGTATTTTTAAGTCTTTTTAAACCATTCGGTACTCACGCGCTCTGAACTAGTTTTCTGGGCGCTCAGGGTCACATCCAAAGCGCGCGCACATGAAGCCGCCTGACAAACACCTCCAGAAAAAGTTATTGTTTTCATTGTTTGCATTTTAATAAATAATGTTACATAAAGACAATTAAACGGTCAGTATAAATGAACAAGTTACTAGCAATAGCACAAGGATACAAATGAAACAAACTGTGCTTTAAC